AACTGACGCCAAATACTAGTCCTTACCGGTATCCCGTCAACCAACCGCTAAGACACCAGTTACCACACGCCACCACCCAAACACTTGACACACACACACACACATTTCACTCCCATCTAAGTAACTACTGCTAGATTCTTACTTTATTTTAAATACTAGTAACAGAGAGTAGGTAGTAAAGATGTGAGTGACTTGTAACACTAACTGGTGGGAGTGATTTTTGGAGTTGTGTAGATCTGGCAACGGGTATAACGAGTTCCTTGAAGTGCTACGTGGGTTAGCGAACATGACGAACAGCGAAAATAAATCAAGCGATAAAAAAAAAATGAGAGAGAGAAAGAGAGAGTTAGTACGTGTGAACAAGTGTATAGCCATTGATAACGAAGATAAGGGGAGAGAGATGGAGAGGATAAATATAGAAGAGGAAGAATAACAATAATAACAAGCCGCTCGGCGTATGAGGTTGGCGCATTAGTCCACCATTTCTGAGAAGAGGTTTGCGAGGTAGACCGAGGGGGGCTTCCAGCTCCCATTTACCAAGCGCTCGAGGCTTCCTTGAAAGATTTTCCTCTCAATGGTTTCAACAAGAGATTACGAATGAGTTGCATAATCAGGACAAGGTGTGGTGGTGGTGGTGGTGGTGGTGGTGTTGGTGTGGTGGTGAGGGTGGTAGTGATGGTGGTAGTGATGGTGGTGGAAGAGGTGGTGATGGTGAGGTGGTGATGGTGGTGGTGGTGGAAGAGATGGTGGTGGTGGTAGTGATGGGGAGGGTGGTAGTGATGGTGGTGGCGGTAAGGATGTGGTGGTGAGGTGAAGATGGTGATGGTGGTGGTGACAATATTTTTACATGTTGGTGCGGAAGTGTGTGTGTGTGTGTGTGTGTGTGAAATTCTACGGTCTCTGATATGACATTTTCATATTTTTAACAACAAACTCTGCCTATTAAAAACACAGCACACACATACACACACACACACACACACACACAAACACACTTTAAATTTGGTTAAGTGATGTTTCGCATATTGTTAATAACTCTCTCTCTCTCTCCTGAAAAAGACCAGGCCATAACTCACCTACTGCTTATAAATGATCCAATTGGCCCATTCAGTCACACACAAGAACGACCCAACTTTAGCTAACACGTATTCACTTTTTACCTAAACTATCTAAAAGGTAATTTGACATAAAAGTTTCACTAAATTGACCAATCACAAGTGAGGACACGAGGTCGGAATCCTAAACCACTACCCCCTCCCCCCCTCGGGAACACAGCAGCCAGAATGGAAGGGGTCGTGTTGTGTGTGTGTTTTCTCAACTCCAGGAAATAAAAAGCAAAAATTGGAGTTGGCAAGAAGTTCCTTCTAACTGTAGATGAGTGTTTACCCCCAGGTTTGGTGTGTGAGAGAGAGAGAGAGTTTTAAACCCTTGTTGATGATATTATGTAAAATGTTCTTACAATAATTGAGTGAGTGAGTGAGTGAGTGAGTGAGTGTCATAGTGCTGCACCAATCAAACACTGAACTCAAATCTTCGACAGTAAACAACAACAACAACAGACGACACAACCTCCACAACCTCCACAACCTCCACAACCACCACAACAGGACCCTCTTGAAGGATCCGAAGGAGAGGAAGGAAGATCAGGGTGGTGGCGGAGGCTTCTTTAAGACAGGTCAAACCAGCCCCTGTTGTTGTTGGCCTATCCTACAACCTGTGACCTACTTCTATGTGTTCTCCTATATCCTGCCATCCTACGACCTGTTCCTATTCTTCTATATTCTATCATGGCCTGCCCTACAACCTGTGACCTGCTTCTATGTGTTCTCCTATATCCTGCCATCCTACGACCTGTTCCTATTCTTCTATATTCTATCATGGCCTGCCCTACAACCTGTGACCTGCTTCTATGTGTTCTCCTATATCCTGCCATCCTACGACCTGTTCCTATTCTTCTATATTCTATCATGGCCTGCCCTACAACCTGTGACCTGCTTCTATGTGTTCTCCTATATCCTGCCATCCTACGACCTGTTCCTATTCTTCTATATTCTATCATGGCCTGCCCTACAACCTGTGACCTACTTCTATGTGTTCTCCTATATCCTGCCATCCTACGACCTGTTCCTATTCTTCTATATTCTATCATGGCCTGCCCTACAACCTGTGACCTACTTTTAAGGACTCTCCTCTCTGAATCTTACGGAGAAATGAAGCAGAATTATAGAAAACGGGAACTGGGTGAGAAATGAGGAAGAATTAAGAGGCGAAGGAAAATGGTAAGAAAGAGGGGGAAATATTTCTCGGCTAATGGATAAAGATAATGAGGCAAATGAGGAGGAAAAACAACAGATAAATGAGGACAATAACAAAGGAAGAATTACACACATTGCTGAGGACAACCATTCTAGTTAGTGAGGTGTAAAAGGATGACGTCAGATGTAAACAAAGCGAGAAAAGATATACTGTTAGTTCATTGGTCAGAAGTGTGAAGGAGAGGAGGGTGGTGGGGGGAGATAAGTATTTTGAATGGCGGTTCATCAATGTGCAATGTTTTCTATTGCAAGTTCAATAAAGGTGACGTGAACGATTGAACAACTCTCCCGGTACCTTCTACACCCGGTAGCACCCGGTACCTTCCCCCCACACCGGTACCTTCTCCTACACCCGTACCTTCCCCTACACCCAGTTCCTCCCTACACCCGGTACCTTCTCCTACACCCAGATACCCTTACCTACGGTACCTTCCCCTACACCCTCTCCTATACCTTCCCCTACACCCGGTACCTTCTCCCCTGCACCCGGTACCTTCAGTACCTACCCGATATCTCCCCCTACCCCCATACACGCCACTCACCCACTTAAAGTCAATGAAACCATCCTTGTGTGGGACCCGACCCAGTCTCTCTCTCTCTCTCTCTCTCTCCTCTCTCTCTCTCTCTCTCTCTCTCTCTCTCTCTCTCTCTCTCTCTCTCTCTCTCTCTGTTTTGTGAGTGACAGAAAGTATGTTGTAATGCTAGTGTGTGTGTGTGTGTGTGTGTATACAGGACATAATTAAATAAAAAACAACTATAGCCATCGCAGCCATGTCAATATTTTGTTGTTCAATTTGTATTATTCTAGCTGATTAAACAGTTTCAATTTCAATGTCATGATTCGTGAGTTGTACAATACCGTGTAATGACCCTTAACCCTTGAATAAACAAAAACACAACACGATCATAAGACGTTGTTTCCCAGAGAAGAAAAATAACACATCTAGACTATGAAACGGAAATACAGTTCTTAGACGAAAAAAGAAAAAAAAAGGATCCTTGACATTGTACTGATGATGGTAACCTCTGCTGGACACACACACACACACACACACACACACACACACACACACACACACACACACACACACACACACACACACACACACACACGACCCTCTCGGCTTTCACTGACCATTACCACGACCTCATCTGCAAATTTGGTGAGAAGCTTCTGCACCATCCTCGACACCGGCTCTTACTACCACCTGAGATCCCTCGCCCGAGAATTGCTGTTCGACACCACAACCGCATCCAGCCCATACGAGCACGAACTGATCGCTATAAGAACAGCCCAGTCCCAACCATTGTAAAAATTATCAATAACTTGTAATAAATCAGTGTATTCACTCCCAGTAAATCCTACGTTTTGCACTGCCACTATGTTGAAATGCCTTGTAGTTTGAGCTTTTCCCCACCTAGTTATTATATATCTTATTTGTAGCACTTATGTTACTTGTATATTATTTGTAAATCGAAACCCATTCCCCAATTATGTAACTGTACATTTTCAGCCTTCCAGATGCTGTGCTCTTTCAATAAACAGTTAATTATTATTATTATTATTAAACACACATTAAATATTACACCAACAAACCCCGTAATCTCGCGTAACTCACCACTTATCTCGCTCACTACCTTAAAACTTACCTTCTCTCTCCCACCCTCACTAGGCATACTGTGAAGCCATACACTATAGGCAGCCTCCAGCACCAGGGAGGTAAGACCCACTTTTGGCTTCTATCCCAAAAATAGATTTCTCAGAACGATGACTACACCCCAAGACGACTCACTACACCCCAAGACGACTCACTACACCCCAAGACGACTCACTACACCCCAAGACGACTCACTACACCCCAAGACGACTCACTACACCCCAAGACGACTCACTACACCCAAGACGACTCACAACTTGCTCCAAGACAGACTCACTGCACCCAAGACGACTCACACTGCACCCAAGACACGATCACTACACCCCAAGACGACTCACTACACCCCAAGACGACTCACTACACCCCAAGACGACTCACTACACCCCAAAACGACTCACTACACCCCCAGACGACTCACAACACTCCAAGACGACTCACTACACCCCAAGACGACTCACTACACCCAAGACGACTCACTACACTCCAAGATGACTCACTACACCCCAAGACGACTCACTACACCCCAAGACGACTCACTACACCTACGACTTACACGAAGGAAATGTTAGTATATTTACGAGCTGTCAAAATCTAATTACCAGCTGCACACGAACGCTAATTACTGTGAGTCATATCTTGTTGAAACTATTGATTACCTTATTTAATTATCTTTTGATTATCTTTCCTGGATTTATATTACAAACAGTTAATTTGGGTTTCGTTATAAAGAGGAACCATATTAGAAATCCTAACCTAACCTAACCTAACCTAAACAAATCTAACCCTCGCTTAATTTGTATTGGCAGCGACCCTTTATGACGACGCTGTCAAGATTCGAAACACCGGGCGACCTGCCAAGACAATCTATGCCCACACCTCCTTCAACCGGTTGTCAGCACCACGCCCACCTCACATCACCAGTTATGTCAGCCCCGCCCACACCTCCACCACCAGTTATGTCAGCCCACGCCCACACCTCCTTCAACCGGTTATGTCAGCACCACGCCCACACCTCCTTCAACCGGTTATGTCAGCCCAACGCCCACACTCCTTCAACCGGTTATGTCAGCCCCACGCCCACACCTCCTTCAACCGGTTATGTCAGCCCCACGCCCACACCTCCACTTCAACCGGTTATGTCAGCCCCACGCCCACCTCCTTCAACCGGTTATGTCAGCCGCCACACCTCCTTCAACCGGTTATGTCAGCCCCACACACCTCCTTCAACGGTTATGTCAGCCACGCCCACACCTCCTTCAACCGGTTATGTCAGCCCCACGCCCACACTCCTTCAACCGGTTATGTCAGCCCCACGCCCACACCTCCTTCAACCGGTTATGTCAGCCCACGCCCACACCTCCTTCAACCGGTTATGTCAGCACCACGCCCACACCTCCTTCAACCGGTTATGTCAGCCCACGCCCCACCTCCTTCAACCAGTTGTGTCAGCCCCACGCCCACCTCCTTCAACCGGTTATGTCAGCACCACGCCCACACCTCCTTCAACCGGTTATGTCAGCCCCACGCCCACCTCCTTCAACCGGTTATGTCAGCACCACGCCCACTTCCTTCAACGTTGCCACACACCTCCTTCAACCGGTTGTCAGCCCCACGCCCACACTCCTCCTTCAACCGGTTATGTCAGCCCCACGCCCACACCTCCTTCAACCGGTTGTCAGCCCACGCCCACACCCTTCAACCGGTTATGTCAGCCCACGCCCACACCTCCTTCAACCAGTTAGTCAGCCCCGCCCACACCTCCTTCAACAGTTGTCAGCACCACGCCCACACCTCCTTCAACCGGTTATGTCAGCCACGCCCACACCAACCGGTTATGTCAGCACCACGCCTACACCTCCTTCAACCGGTTATGTCAGCACCACGCCCACACCTCCTTCAACCGGTTATGTCAGCACCACGCCCACACCTCCTTCAACCGGTTATGTCAGGACCACGCCCACACCCCTAGTTGCTGTGATCGAGTTGGATGTGTTCCCAAATCTTCAGCAAACATCAACAACAACTACTACAACACGACAACAACAGAAACAACAAAACAACAACGACATCAAAACCGACGACGTCAACAACAAAAACAACGTCAACATTAACAACAACAAAAATAACAACAATGACAACAACAATAACAATACATACAACAACAACAACAACAACAACAACAACAACAATAACAACAATAACAAGACTCTTTCGGTCAGGTAGTCAAAAATATGTCAAACAAATTACAAACAAGTTGAGAAAATTATCAAACTTTCAATAAATAATACAATTATTCCTAAATATACAGCATTTTTGGGGCTGTATAGACATTTGTTCAGCTGTACGTGACGTTTAGGCTCAGGGTATATGTCACCTACGTCATGTGTTGCTGTATTTGTGTGTTGCTGTTTTTTTGTTGCTGTATTTGTGTGTTGCTGTATTTGTGTGTTGCTGTATTTGTGTGTTGCTGTATTTGTGTGTTGCTGTATTTGTGTGTTGCTGTATTTGTGTGTTGCTGTATTTGTGTGTTGCTGTATTTGTGTGTTGCTGTATTTGTGTGTTGCTGTATTTGTGTGTTGCTGTAATTGTATGTTGCTGTATTTGTGTGTTGCTGTAATTGTATGTTGCTATATTTGTGTATTTGCTGTATTTTATTTTGCTATATTTGTATGTTGCTATATTTGTATATTTGTATTTGTGTGTTGCTGTATTTGTGTGTTGCTGTATTTGTGTGTTGCTGTATTTGTGTGTTGCTGTATTTGTGTGTTGCTGTATTTGTGTGTGCTGTATTTGTGTGTTGCTGTATTTGTGTGTTGCTGTATTTGTGTTGCTGTATTTGTGTGTTGCTGTATTTGTGTGTTGCTGTATTTGTGTGTTGCTGTATTTGTGTGTTGCTGTATTTGTGTGTTGCTGTATTTGTGTGTTGCTGTATTTGTGTGTTGCTGTATTTGTGTGTTGCTATATTTGTATGTTGCTGTATTTGTATTACTGTATTTGTATGTTCATGTTTTACAACTGTCAACTCAGAGTACAAAACACAGTACGTCACCAACGGCACAAACACTGTCCACACGAGACCCTAAAATGCTCAATACTGTATGTGTTAACGTTAGAAAATTCCACTGGACAGAAACTACTAATCTTGGTGCAGAGGAGGTGTGTGTGTCTGTCTGTGTACGTGTGTGTGTGTGTGTGTGTGTGTGTGTGTGTGTGTACAGTATTTCACAAGGACACACATGTGGTAAATTCACACCTGGACACCAGCTCTGAAACGCACATAACTTCAAAGTCACATGTGAACTCGATTGACACACACACACACACACACACACGTGACTGACTCACCTACGTACCTGTGACCTTGGACACCTCAATTAACCAGGTGTGTTGCTCCCCCCCCCCTTTACACGGATCGATACGAGACCTTCCCCCTTCTATCACTACTCCCTCCTTCTTCCCCCAACATTTTCTTTCTTTCTCCTCCCCCTGTTTTTCCTCCTTCCTACCACCACCTCCTCCTTCCTACCATATCCTCTTCCTCCCCCTCCCCCTACCACCTCCTTCTCTTCTTCCTCCTCCTTCCTACCATCTCTTCCTCTTCCCCCAAGATCTCTTCCTCCTCCCCTAACCTCACCTCCCCCTCCCTTCCTCAATTACCCTGCCCCTCCATGGTAACTGAAAGCAGCTGAATATTTACTGTATACACCAGGCACTAGTCTACAGTATATCTGACCGTGCGTGTGTGTGTGTGTGTGTGTGTTAGCCGGTAATCATTCGTTCACTTTGTTTTTATGCACACACACACATGCACACACATACACACACACACACACACACACACACACACACACACACATGTGAAGTTCCTCATAACACCATCTGTGAGGGAATTACTACACCACATCAGTCCCCTCATACACCATCTGTGAGGGAATTATTACACCACATCAGTCCCCTCATACACCATCTGAGGGAATTATTACACCACATCAGTCCCCTCATACACCATCTGTGAGGGAATTACTACACCACATCAGTCCCCTCATACACCATCTGTGAGGGAATTACTACACCACGTCAAGCCCCTCATAACACCACCTGTGATTACCACCACGTCAAGCCCCTCCTTAACACCATCTGTGAGGGTGCTACCACGTCAAGCCCCTCATACACCATCTGTGAGGTACTACACCACGTCAAGCCCTCATAACACCACCTGTGAGGGAATTACTACACCACATCAGTCCCCTCATACACCATCTGTGAGGGAATTATTACTACACCACGTCAAGCCCCTCATAACACCATCTGTGAGGGAATTACTACACCACGTCAAGCCCCTCATAACACCACCTGTGAGGGAATTACTACACCACATCAGTCCCCTCATACACCATCTGTGAGGGAATTACTACACCACGTCAAGCCCCTCATAACACCACCTGTGAACGAACTACTACTCCACGTGATTCCCCTCATAGCGCCATCTGTGAAGGAGTTACTACACTACGTGTCTGCTGTTCAACACCTCAGCGCACAAGATCTACGTGACCTCCACTGTAAACATTAATCTGTATGTTCACTGTATGTTCCTTTACCATTCTCTAATGAAGGCTTTTGTTAAACCACTAATGTCAATGTATGTAATAAGTCATTTATGTCCAATATATATTTTCAGCCTTCGGGCTGCAGAACTTTTTCAGAACTTTTTTCAATAAACCGTTAATTATTATCTATTATTACACACACATACACACACATACACACACACCACAAATCGATTATCTACTAAAACTATCATCAAAATATAACAAACTGTATCGGATGTGAAACTCTGACTGACCACTACAAGAGAGGGTCACATACACTACACCACAGTTTCTCGACATCCGCGTCATGTTTGGGACACATTATTCACTCCACTCTTATCCCGAGAGGCTGGCTGGCTGGCTGGCTGGCTGGCTGGTTGGCTGGCTGGCTGGCTGGCTGGCGGCTGGCTGGTTGGCTGGCTGGCTGGCTGGCTGGTTGGCTGGCTGGCTGGCTGGCTGGCTGGCTGGTTGGCTGGCTGGCTGGCTGGCTGGTTGGCTGGCTGGCTGGCTGGCTGGCTGGCTGGCTGCGCTGGCTGTGGTTGGCTGGTTGGCTGGCTGGCTGGCTGGCGCTGGCTGGCTGGCTGGTTGGCTGGCTGGCTGGCTGGCTGGCTGGCTGGCTGGCTGGCTGGCTGGCTGGCCGGCTGGCTGGCTGGCTGGCTGGCTGGCTGGCTGGCTGGCTGGCTGGCTATTCCGGCCCCATCTACAAACCTTTTCTTTATATTTCTCCTCATTTATTTTATGTCGTTGAGATTTCGTTTATCATTTGTGTCTTTTTCGTTGAGGTAAATATTATAATCTTGGTTTAACTGAGTGGTTGTGTAAGAGAATTGTTTAATCACCAAGTAAAATATACTAGGTTAGGCGTAATCTTCAGGTGATCCCTTCATAATAATAACAATAATAATGATAATAATAATAATAATAATAATAATAATAATAATAATAATAATAATAATAATAATAATAATAATAATAATAATAATAATAATAATAATAATAAATAATAATATATAATATGTAATAATAATAATAATAATAATAATAATAATAATAATATGATAGTAATAATATAATAATAATAATATAGTAATGAATATATGATAATATAATAATAATAATAATAATAATAATAATAATAATAATAATATCACGTTAAAACAAGGCAGTGGCTGTTTTGGGCCATATTGTCGGTCCATTGTTTGTGTAATAAAAATAATGATATAATGATGCACATAAAAACATGACATGAGAATATGCATAGTTAAGTGTAAATAACGCACGAGGTGTTTGTACACTTTAGTTAAAAATGTACAACGATCACCCGGTGGTACAAGGTCCCCTGCCCCGGGCGGTGTTGGGGAGGCTTCAGCTGAGTCCTGTACTGTACTGAGATCACATCACTGGTCTATACTATATTCTCTTCGCCAAATATCCTCAGCGGGACATTACTGAATATGGATTTTTGCAGTTCAACACCAATTATTCCTTATTTTTCTTACTTTAATTACGACGTGGATTAGGCAGGAAAGGATAGCTTCAAATATAAGTTGGACGGATATATGTCCGATAGGGTTGAGTGTAAACGGGACTGCCCAGTATGAGCCAATAGCCCCACGACGGTTTCCTCCATTCTTATGTTCTTATAGTGTACAAATACCGAGTGCATTTTTCCCAACACGTGCATATACCCACAGTGAAAATAATAATAAATAAAATAAATAAAAAAATATTACGTTTTCATTTTGTAATTTTCACTACACACGTCAGCGCATGTTTAATCCTTTTATGTTTTTGACCTTACGATAAATATTTTTATTTTATTTTGTTTTGTACCTTCTGTATTAACAATTGTGTGTACATGTAACAGTGAAATAAATTATATATATTTACCCCAAATTATTTAATGAACAATGGACCGGCAAAATAGCCCGTGACCGATAACGTAGCCTATTCTTTAAACCAATACAGCTCCTAAAGTGACCCTGAGACACCCGTTCACACACACACACACACACACACACACACACGTCACTATACACCCCTAACGCCAACTGCCAAAATAACTGTTCATACTATACACAATATCATATACGGTATATAACCTGTAAATTGAAAACACTACCAATACTGTACGACCATAAAAGATGACTCTACAAAATACATACACGGCCTCACAGCTCTACTTGGTGGCTATCATGCTGAAGATTTGTCCTCACTTGTTGATGTGTGAAAACTCCCACAACTGAAGACAATGGTGTGTGTGTGTGTGTGTGTGTGTGTGTGTGTGTGTGTGTGTGTGTGTGTGTGTGTGTGTAGTATCAACAGGTCAACGTCCGCCTATTGATCGTGTGTGTGTGTGTGTGTGTGGATGTGACGGCGT